GTAGCTGCAGGGGCTGATGAACCCAAGATCAGCATGTCAGATGGCAGGCCTCTGGCTCACAGGCTGTGGAGGGTGATGAATCCCAAGATCGGCAAGTAAGATACTGGCTTAAGTCCCAAGAACTGGAGGTTAGATGATGAGCCCAGTGCAGGATCCAGAGAGAGCAAAAGCCAGAATGTTCACATATATTGGATGCAGGCTACACCCCCAAGGAAACTCTCAACCGATACGCTGCTGATAGCAGATTTCATCACGGAGGTGACTACATTATATCAGATCTCATTATGGAGGTGATTAAATCATTGCATAGCTGCCAAATTACATCATAACTGCCAAACTACTGAAAATCACGGCCCAGATGAGTTTACACACAACCTTAACCGTCACACTGTACAACAGCAGTTATATGTGGGTTGATGGGATCTCTCATCCAGAAATTAGTTAGGCATGTAACCAATACCTACCATCCACTTCTGGAGAAGACCTGGCTGAAAATGCTCTTCTATTCATTACTTCAATCAATCTCAACAAAGCATCTTTGTGTGGATAGCTGGAGGGACAAAAACTCTGCTCTCTGGAAACTTCTATCTTCTGTGGCATCTCATCCCAAAGTGAATTACTGGTGTTTCACAATAGTACAACTCTTAACCACAGAGTTAAACTCTGGTGTGAGTTCTATGATGCTGTATAAGGCCTGACCTATGCCTAAATGTTTTCCTACACTCGCTGCATTCATGAGGATTCTCCCCAGTGTGGATCCTCTGGTGCTGAGTGAGGGCTGACCTCTGATTGAAGGATTTTCCACATTCATTAATTCATAAGGTTTCTCTCCAGTGTGAATCCTTTGATGTTCAATAAGGATGGAGCTTCTATCAAAAGCCACCCCACACTCATTACATTCATAGCCTTTATGTCCAGTATGAATTTTATTATGCTGATCTTCAGCTAAAGGCTTTCCCACATTCACCACATTCATAAGGTTTCTCTCCAGTGTGAATTCTCTGATGCCTAATAAGCTCTGAGCTGCCCCGGGAAGCTTTTACACATTCACAACATTCATAGGCCTTTTCACCACTTTGAATTCTCTAACAAGGTCTGAGCTCAAACTAATGGCTTTACCACATTCTTTACATGTATATGGTCTCTCACCAGTATGACTTCTCTGATGTCTAATCAGCTTTGAGCTCTGTAAGAAGGCTTTCCCACAATCAAAGCACTCATAGAGCTTTTCCCCAGTGTGAATTATTTGTTGTGTAATAACATTTAAGTTCAGATTGAGATTTCCTTCACTTTGATTACATTCAAGAACAGTCTCTTCTGTGGGGATTTTCTTGTTGAAAGTTGCAGACTGAAATGTGTTTCCTGGGAAGGGAGTGGACTCACTTTGTTCCTTGCAGCATTTCCTGTTTGTTTCTCAAAGTTGTCTGGACCTCCCAAAGCTTCTTCGACTACCTGTCCTGAAGGAGTTTTCCCAGGTAGTCTTCCTGGGGATATCAAGGCTGCTGATGTAACACATTCAATAATTGCCTGCTTTGCAGTAAGCATTCTGTCAGCCACCATCTTGCCATCTAAAAATGTGAATAGAAAATACAAGTGTTATTTGCTGTTTATGTTGGAAGAAAGGAAGTTGTTATAGCAAGAACAGAAAATAAACCAATTGAAACAAATATCTGTTAGGAGGAAAACTCTTAAAACTAGCTTCCCAATTTCAAAGAATTTGGGGAAATGGCTTACGAAGAGTAAGGTACTGAGAGGTGGTTACCTCAGACAATAAGTTAACAGAGAATGAGAGAATGGAGAGGAGGGATGGTCACCAGAGGAAGACATTAATTACAGGAGATGGTGATAAGTAGGAGTATCAGTGAGACACCTGGGAACTAGTAGAAATGCTGGGTTAGAGGAGAAGATGCATTTTTTTGGGAATAAGGGAAAGGAAAAGAGGTGATGAGGCATGATCAGGATACAGGAAGATGCCTAAGAGTCTTGAATCAGTGATGTACTGGATTCAGTCTGGTGGACGCCGTGGTAGCTGTGGTCCATTAGTACTTTGGACTAATCTTTTCCTTGTATCTTTTTCTCTTCATTCTCCCTTGCTCCAGAAGGGGTGAGACCAGTGGAGTATCTTAGATGGCTGCTCACAGGCTTTTAAGACCCCAGATTCTAATCACCAAGGTAGAATGTAGAACATTGTCTTTATAAACTGTGTTATGCCAACTGAGCTAGATGTTCCCCGAGACCATAGCCCCCACAGCCCTCCGCCCAGCAATTCAGTCCCTCAGGGAGTTTGGA